GTGCATCTGCATCATTATTTTCAGCAGCTTTTTGAAACCAATAAAATGCTTTTTCTAAATTCTTTTCTGTTCCTCTACCATTATAATATGAATTTGCAAGATTATATTGTGCATCTGCATCATTATTTTCAGCAGCTTTTTGATACCAATAAAATGCCTTTTCTAAATTCTTTTCTGTACCTTTACCATTATAATATGAATTTGCAAGATTGAATTGTGCATTTATTTGTTCATTTTCAGCAGCTTTTTGATACCAATAAAATGCTTTTTTTAAATTCTTTTCTTTTCCTTCACCATTTTCATATATAACTGCAAGATTAAATTGTGCATTTATTTGTTCATTTTCAGCAGCTTTTTGATGCCAATAAAATGCTTTTTCTAAATTCTTTTCTGTACCTTTACCATTATAATATGAATTTGCAAGATTATATTGTGCATTTGCATTATTATTTTCTGCTGCTTTTTGATACCAATAAATGGCTATTTCTGAATTCATTTCTTTTTCTTCATATAAAATTGCAAAATTATATTGAATAATTGATATTATTTTATCTATTGTTAAACGGTTAATAGGTTCATTATTCCAACAATCTAAAAAAATAATAATAAAAAATAAATTTTATGATTATACAATTTGAATAATAAGTATATTTTTACCAGTATAAACTTTTATATAATCCTCAGGTGTATTTGGAATAGCTATTTCTCTAAGACCTTGTATAATCTTTACATTTAAATCAACATTATTCTTAGCATAAAAAGGAGGATAACCACTTGAAATTTCCCATAATATAACTCCTAAACTATATATATCAGAATATTTTGTATAGGAATTTTGTTTAATTTTACTTTCTCTTAAAATTTCAGGAGCAATATATGGGATGTTACATGACTCTTTAATATTTATGTTTCTTGAATGACCAAAATCTGTAAGTTTTGCTCTTTCTTGATCTATTACTATGTTTCTATCATGCTACAAAATATCATTAAAATATTACTAAATTAATTGGTTTGACAAAATTTAAATCATTTAAATAATGACTTACAAGATTTCTATGTAAAATATGTTCTTTATGTAAATATTGTAAGCCATTTATAATATCCAAAGCCAATCTATATTTTTTGTTCCAATTAAGATTTTTAAAAGTTTTTGAAAGATATATTCTTAAATCCTCTTCATTAGCATAATCCATAATAATATAATAGTCATTATTTAAATCTAATAAAAATATACAAATTAAATTAAATTTTATCATTAAAATAAAAAGATGGATTTCAAAACTTACTTTTACTTATTCCTAAAACTTGAATAATATTTTCACAAAAATGAGTTCTAGTATGTATTAAAAGTTCATGTTTAAATGTTTCCCATTGAATATCCGATGAAATTAATATTTGTTTATAAGCTACATATTTTTGAATCTTAGTACTATATGCTTTAAATACTGATCCAATGTGACCTAATCCGATCTTTTTATGAGAAGTAAATTCAGACCATGATATTGATTCAATAACTTTATGTTTTATAGATTCTTCAATAAGTCCTTTTACTTGTATATCTTTAAATAAATCACTCATAATTGTTTCAATAGTCGTAATATCATAACGATCTTCTGGCCTTAATTTCCACATTCTGACTATTAAAAGCTCCAACCTTTCAGGCATTTCGGGCAATTTTTCTATATTATTATTTAGTAAATGGTTGGAAAGTTTCTTGATTGGTATGCCTTTAAATGGCAGATTTTCCGCTTTACACCAAAAAATTTCCCAAAATAATAATCCTAAACTATATATATCAGATGGCTGATGTGGTTCAAAGTTTTCTATGCTTAATCTATCTGGATCATGCCACCGTTTCCAAATCATTTCATTATTTGGAATTTTTATTATTGAATATATCGAATTTTTGTTAGTAGAAAAGCTTTTGCTCCAAAGAAAATTAGATATCCTTGGCATCAGAATTTTTTCTGTGTCATTATACTGCAGTAATACATTCGCACTTCGAAGATCTAGATGCAAAATTCCTTGCTATAAATGAGTATGATTATCAAAAATAGTACTTATTAACAAAATAAAACAAAAAAAAAAAATAAATAGCTCCTTACTTTATGTAAATATTTAACTCCCTGAGATATCTCCCATGCTAATTTAATTTTTATTTTCCAATCATTAACAAGATTCACAAAAGAATTATCATTTACTTGGAAATATGTGAAAAGATCACAAGTCGCATTTTCATAAAATAGTATGGGTTTACAATTTTGAACTGAATACCCATAAAATTTAATGATATAATCATGATCGTTTAATCGATATTCATTGTAAAAGTAAATCTCTTTCTCGGCATACGAAAAATTTTCGAGATATCGATATTTTAACGATTTTCCAATAGTAATTGTACAATTATTTAAAAGTTGTTTCGTTGAATCAAATAATTCTTCAGTTCTTGTTGATAGAGTTTCTGTTTCGTTACATTCTCGACAATACCATCGAGATAAATCTTTATTACGAATTATATTTGAATCATCATCAATATTTACGTTAAGTTCTGATACATTCTCGAAATTATCCAGTTCAGTTTGGATTGCGATATTTTCATACAAAGCAACTATTAATTTGCCTAAATGGCTATTGAATGACTTTCCAGCCATTAAGATACTAATAAAAAAATTTTTTAAAAAATGAATATACAAATGAATGATATTAATGTTATTTATGTATATGAATACTTACAGCTCAAGTTTCTCGCTGATCAAAGATGACTCTTCTATTGTTACAGAATTAAAATCATCAACTACATAGAAACGAATAATTAAGTTAGGAAATAAATATATAATTAGAATTTTTTTTGACAAAGAAAATAGCTTACCAATACAACTTAGAAGATGAATATATATATGTACTTGATTTTTTATGATACTAATAAATTGAGCTTTCTCGGTAATATCATGCCAATCTAGACATATATTTCTAAATCTATTCTTATGTTCATATAGTTGTTGTGCAATTTCCTTAAACTCATCATTTATAAAAAGTATATTTCCAGATGCAACGGCGTTATTTATTACTTCGCCAAGTATTTTACATAAATTATCCAATTCAAAAAATGGATCTAATGGATCATTTATATATTTCGCAAAATCACGATCTCGGAATGATGGTTCAGTATTTTCAATAGATCTAATACCATTTCTATGCTCTTCACATAACCATAAAATCTCTTGTGTTTCATCATCAACACATTGTATCAATCCGCCAAAATAATCTGTACTTTTTTGTTTATCAAGAAATCCTACCAAATAATTTTATTAATGAATGTTACATAAAAAAAAAGCAAATTAATGGGTTTACATACCTTTGAGTTCGCGGAGACCTGAATTGTTTATCATTTGATGAGGAATATAAACTTCTTTATTCAAAGGAATAAAGTCTGGATTTTCATCGATGATAGTTTTTATACCAACATCCACAATGTCAATAATTTCTTGAAAATATTTCATCAGATCAGAATTACCAGATATATTAAAGATTGACGTTAGAATATTAGCAACGTCTGGTGGAAAGTCATTCGGTTTCAGTTCACACATTAATTTTTGTAAACTAGACAAAAAAATGATATTAATATATTAATAAAGTATTTGGTTAAATTTATATGATAATTTACCATAGATTTATCCAGGATCCATATTTTTTTATGAACTGAGAGATATTAAGAACTTTGTAAACTTCTTGTTCTGGAATGTGCCATTTTTTCTTGTGCTCACAGACAAATAAAAGGCGAAATGGCTTTGAAAACAACCATGTCCTAGAATAAATACAATATAATTGTTAAATTTAATTATATTAATTGTATTCGAACCTTTTTAAAAAAAATATATATATATATATACGTTGGATTTTTCCACCCTTTTCGATCAGGGATCATAATGAACACTTGTGGGACTTTTTCGTTTGTTAACTTGGCCTTTTTAAAAAAGAAATGTTAAAAAAAGATTATAATAAAAGAAATTCTAAATCTATTCAAAAAAAATGTATTTACCCATTGTGGGATTTTCTTTGTTAATTCAGATAAATCCAATATGGCTCTTTTACTATTATCAATTTTATTATTCATTATTTTTAACTTTTGTTTCATTTCGTCATGATATTTTTTAAGGAAAGCTTGATATTGTTCCTAAAGTGAAACTTATAGTAAGAAAAAAACCTAAAAATATTTAACAAAAATCAACCTAAACATAGACATTCTACCTGCAACAATTTTCCTTGAAACTCTTCACCAAAGGTCTCGTCATCACCTTTAGAGAAATCATATTCAATGCTATTATAAATGTTCGCCGATTCTAAATATAAACCAGAAAGTCAGAAAAATTCTATCGAAGTACGAATCACTTATTGACAATTCCAACTAAAGTAGTGCGTCACGTCAAGACGAGTACATACTACTGGTTGAAGCATTGAAATTTTGATAAACACGCTCTGTTTCTACATTTTGCTTACCTGATTCACTGGTGTAGTATGTCGTTTTCTGTAAAGAGAATATATGTTTTTTTAATTTAAATAAAAGATTTTTTTAAAATTAAAATTATTTGTATCGCAATTACCATAAATTCTTCCAATGTCATTCTATGTGAAATGTTTTTGTTAAGCAACTTTTTTAAAGCGTCGCAAGCAGCAGAATCACGAATATCACGAATCGTTAAATATTCTACTGAAATCATTCCAACTTTTTCTTCATCGTTCTTTCCATCCCAATAATGATTTCCTAATTAAGCACAACGTTAATACACCATTCAATAATTTGAATAAACAATATTCCAAGGAAATACCCGTTTCAAGAAAATATAAAATTAGTCCAAAAGAGAACATATCCATTGCAAAATTGGCTCTTATTTTAATTCCTTTATCATACGCTCTTATAATTTCAGGAGCCGAATAGTTTTTTATTATATTTATATATTCTGAACTATCGTCAAAACACGCTGCGTCAAAATTAGCCAATTTCCACCTGTCATTATAACCGTTCTTTTCTTGAAAATGCATTATATTTTTTGGTGATAATTTAGTATGTACTATTAAAAAAAAAGTCCAAGAATATGTTAATTAAGTTCATAAAACTTTGCAGCGAACTTACAGAAACTTACCGATGTCATATTTTTGAAGTTCTGAGAGACCCGTTACAATATCCTAATAACATATTGCTTTAATTTTTAAATGAATCATAACCAATAAGTAGCGGTATTAATTACCTTTATTATGTCAATTTTCTCTGCTTGTCTTCGAATATTATCTTGATGGCTTAAAAATGTTTCTAGGTCATATAAAGCAAACTCGCATATAATAGTTGCTTGTGATGGATAATTATTTATCATTTGAATAATATTCTATATTTGACCAAATAAATAAATATATATGTTATAAACCATAAGTAAATTTACCACAAACTAATATAATAAATAATACAAACGTCTGTATTTTTTAATTCATCTAACATCCGTAATTCTCTGTAAAATGCATCTCTTGTGTTGCATTTGTATTCTTTTATCAAATAATGAACTTTTGGTTTATTAACTTCATAGGCTTTATACAAATTAGCGATTTTACCATAGCTACAACTCCTTATAATTTGATATCGTTCTATATGAATAAAATTAGAATAGTATTTTTCAATAATTAGAACACTTAATAAATATTTAAAATTACCTTCAAATTCATTCGTTAAATCACATTTCGGATAAACTCTAGGCATTGTGGTGTTATCTGGCATCAGTTTATGCCCCATAAACTTCCATGAAACTTGCTTATCTTGTTCACAGCCAAAATCTGCGATAATAGATTCTTGTTTATTGGGATTAATCGCGTACAATTGTACAGTTACAAATACAAACAATGACTCAAATGAGTGATGGATAATATCTAAGTCAATCCATTTACTAGACCTATTTTAGAACATCGCAATATTATAAATAAGTACTCATGTATTTATATATCAAGAATAAAATAATATAATATAATTCCGAATTGAAACATACCATGATTTCACGATAACTTGAAGTATAGGCTCATAATTAGAGGGTGGATATTGGATAGAAGTTGCAATAATACATCCTGGAGATAAGTCTTCTTCTACATAAATTCGACGTGAAGTTTTTCTTTGTGAAATTTTAACCTTTAATTCTTCACAAAATATTTTGGTATCTCTGGTATGATTGCTGAAGTATCCAACAGCCTTTGGTTCGCCAATTAGTTGCCAAAATACTTTAAAATCCCTGTGAATGTGTAATTGAATAATACAAATTATAAATTAATAATTATATACTTAAACAATTAATGATATTAGTTACTCTTTTAAAAGTAAAATTTACCCTTCGATTTCTTTGTTTAAATTTTTATATTCTTCTATCATTATCGAGAACCCATGGATATCTATCATCTGGAATTTTACGTTTAAATCTAATCTTTTGTCATTCATAACAACAGATCCTATAACTCGATAATCATTGCTCATTAGATGATTATCAAAATTAACTCGGTAGTAGCGTGTTTTATAACTACTAAGTTTTGTAACCCCTGTCATAAGAATCTTTTGTTTATTTTCTAATAAATTGTCAATTTGTCTCTTGACATTATCATCATCAAGAATTTTATATAATGGAATTAGTTCTGGTTGATTTGCTAAAGACCATAAATTTGGTTTCGTGGAAATACCATTTAACCAAGTTTCTATTTCATCTAGATTAACAGAATGGTCATGTGCAATAAGGTGGTTTGGAACATCAATGTTGAATTTTCCTAGTAGTTTCACCAACATAGTTTTAGCACAATCTCTTGACACGATCCATTTTTGACAGAATTCCTTTTGAGTTACAAACTGGTTTGTAATAACTAATCTTTCTCCCATAGTAATCTCCGCACAAACCAGGTGACCATATTCTGAAAAAACTTTGGTCAATGATTTGTATGGATTTATGTTATTTAAAGCCTCATTGATATCATTAACCAATTGTTGAGATGGTTTGATTGTTTGCTTTTCTTGGGAGGTTTCGCTAAATATGGTAACAATAACTTCTTCTTGAAAGATAATACACTGCGTAACATTAGCGATCATGGTATTAAAAGGTGATATAAATGGAATTTCTTCCAAATTAATTTTTTTGTGAGAGTAATCAATATAAAGTTTAGAATATAACAACTCTTTTTGTATAATAGAATGTGAAATTTTCATTTTTGTTTGATTGCTTTGTTTGTACGATTTAATTGATGGAACAGACAAAAATTCTAAAGCAGGTTTCTTCCCAGGTATAAGCCCATAAGAGGTTAACACCATGCCATGATCCAATTGATATTCTTTAATCCAGAGTGGTAAATTCAAGTAAATATTATCGAGTATCCAATGATCGAAGGTAATTTCTTCGTGATGTTTCATGACTCCCGGAATCAAACGATTAACAATTTCGAGGGAAGTATTATCGGCAGAAATCACACTTTCATATGCAATAACAGAAGCAGTCTCAAATTTGTATATTTGATTCAGATACTCTGCCTAAAAAAATATAGTTTTATATAAATATATAATCTAAAAGCGAATTAAAGTTTAAAAAATTTTTTAATTGTAAGACATACCAAAACCTTCATGTCGGTGATAGGATTCCCATTTAAATCTTCAATGTTTTTCAATTTTAATTGCAACATTGCAGACTTGAAACAATTACTGCTTTTCCAACATGTTTCATTAATGGCCCATGATAAATGTGCCTTCAGCTGATCAAGTTCTAAAGGATTGTACATTGAAACGTTTCTAATGATCAAAGATCCTCCGACTAATACCTTTCTTGAAAGAAATTCTTGATGAGTTTCTCTATCTGCGTCATCATTAGGATTTTTTGGATGCTTATCCGTAGACAACTCGATATCAACAAAAGATTCTCCAAAATAAGTAATTCTAAGTACCGGAATAATAAGCTTGACATCGGTATTTGCAAGTAGAGGTGCTTGATAATTTATTTTATCAAATTTATCATCATTCAATTTAACTTCCAATAAGTCCCACGTAGAATTTAACAGAATCTCTTGAGTTGGTTCATATATCAATATTTGAGTGTGTTTTTCTAATTCCAATCGACCCCCATCAACACATGGTTTGGAAGGAATAAAGTCTCCATTCTTATAACGAAGACTATAATTCAGTTTTAGAAATTTCACCAATTCTTTATCTGATTCGTTCATTTCTTGATGTTCGTTCGTACAGTTAGAAAAAATATAAAAAAGTTCGATACTATGAATGACTTATGTAGTTATGTAGTGCAAAATTCTCAGCCCTAGCCACAACATTAATAGTTACACGAACTTTTTTGATATTTAGCCCCAATAATGTTTGAGAAGGGTTAGATCGACCGAAAATTGACATTTAAAAAATCACCTTTTTTTTAAAAAAAAAAATCAAATGAATATAGTGCCAGAAAATTTGATAAATTATATTTCCGATTTTGTTAACCTCAACACTGCCAGGGATACCAGGGATATAAGTGTTAAAATTAATGAAGGCCCTTCATTAGCTCTCGAGCTTGACACTAACCTTACGCTCGAACATATTCGGAATCATTTTTCTAACCCAGATGAAGAATTATGTATATATGATAATATGTCATTTAATGGTCCCAAAGGGAAAATCACACAAAATGATGAATCCCGAAAAAGGTTGGGAGATATTTTGATAAAAGAAGGATCTCTTGAAATTTTAAAAATTTTAAAACCTTTAGATTATCCAGATGAAAGAGAAGTTATTAATAAATTCAATTTGGATTGTGGACTGAAAATATCCAGTTATGGACCAACCCGTTCACAAAAAAAAGCACTAGTATTTAAAAAACCGAAAACCCCGATTGAAATCCATAAATCTCAATACGAAGAAAATGTCGTAAAAATCTGTACAACTTCTCATGAAGAATTATGTCTAAAGAATTTAATTGGCGGTGTCAAGGCAGCTTTACCATGGTCACCGCTTTCTGCTGGACTTTCTTCTGGCTTTTCTTTATCACATGAGCGTAAAAATCAAACTACACACCATAAAGAAACTTCTACCGATTATAATGTCGACATATGTGTGAAATTGAGAGGAATGATCAATAAAAACGAAATTTCGCCAACAGAAGAATTTAAAAAAGATGTGGACGAAGCCTTAAATAGTAAAGATCCTTTTATAGAACTTCAGAAATTAACAGAACAATACGGTGAATATATCATCCTGAAAGTAAAATTGGGGGGAAAGGGGCTAAAAATCATTAACAAAAAATTGTCAGAAACCGCACAACAGAAATCTAACAAATTTTCTTTTGGCTTTAATGTAGACTCTAAGTTTGGTAGAACTAACATTGATCTCATGAAAGAAATAAAAGTAGTTCAATACAAAATAAATTAACTTTTTGTACAGCATTTGGCGGAGATAAAATTAAATATGAAAATGATGTACAAGGATGGAAAGATTCTTTAGTCGATTTTACAAAGTGGGAGATTATTGAGTATGAAGAAATTGAACCAATTTTTAATATTTTAGACGAAGAACAACGCAATAAAGTTATTAAGATTATAGTGGAACAGAAAATTTTATTTAGAAAGAAAGAATCGATTAAAGTTGGGTTTTCCTCCAATTCGGTTCCATATAAACATGAATTAAAAATACCTCCTACTTTACAATATGATCTTAAGAAATGTCAAATATTTGCATCCGTTAGTGGAGAAAAGCGAGTATTTTCTGTTCGAGTAGTATATGTGTCTAATAGCTCAGCCTCACTCTTACTTCATAAAATTGGTAATAAGAAAAAATATGAGTGCTACTACAATTTGCAAATAGATTGGATAATTATTGGCTATCCAAGTAACTTCAAAATGGATGAATTTAAAGTAATTTCAAGCGATAATACTGTTGATAGTAATTCAATTGAGATTTATGACCAATTTCAAAAACAAGAATTATGTCTTTTGGCAACTTGCGCATATAATGCACCTGAAGAGTCTAATAATAGCCCATTTAAATCAAATATTGTGGCTGGTGTCCATTTCTGTTGTGATGACTCAAAATTAAAGGCATTCAGATTTACTTACGACCTTGAATCCCTGAAATTCGACCACTTAGACGAGAACAAGTTGTCAAATTATTTCATTAATTATAGGTAATTACTGTTTTAAAATATTTCTGTTTTATGTGTCAAGTTCATATGTTCAAAATTATTTAAATGTATTTTACATAATAGTCTGATTAAAACCCCTTCAGCTTATTACACGCTAAGCAAAAAAATTTCACTAGAAAGATCATATATTTTATATGATGTTTCAGATAAACATTTATGGATACGTGCTGATAAAGATCTAAAATTTGTCAGTCTCTTTAACCTTTTTAATCAATCTAACCCAAATGATAGTAATCTAGGATTTGCAAATATAACTTCTGAACATTTGGTTTTCAAATCTCTTCAAAGTTATACTAAGAAAGAACTTCATATATCGTATTTTTGCGCCCCGCCTGAGCAAACAGTTTACGATGCCAAATGGTGATTATGAATTTTTTATCGAAATTCCAAAGGAAAGAAAACTAGAAGCATTGAGAAATTAACTTTGTGACAAACAGTACATACCATTTCTTAAAATTCTATTTATTACTTTGCCTTAACAGGTTATTTATTTATTTTTATTTTTAAGAAATATTTAATTTATTTGATTTATTTGATTTCTATACAAATTACGATTACAATAAAATAAAAATGTTCACCGATACGAAAAAAATAAATCCAAAATTTCCAAAATTTTTTATAATAAAATTAATAATACAGTAATTCTATCAAATTTTGTAGCCAAAGCTTAATGAGTTGGATTAACTATAATCTAAAATCTTTAGTGAAAGTTTTTAAATTTAACCCATACTCTTGGGATGGTATTTTGCTACACCTTTTTCTACAGAATCAGCGTTATGAAGTTCTTTAATTTAATAAAAAATGTTCCATGTCACATATGGTGAATTTAACATAATAATATAATCTTATTTTATTTTGTTGATTAACTATAAAAACAGAGAGAAAAAATATATATTGTTAAAAAATTTTTCGAGATTTGCAAATTAATATAAGATAAACTTTCAATATCTTTCACTACCATATCTAAAAAAAACTAAGTATTATAATAAAAAATGGAATATTGTGATTTGTTAAAATAGATTTTTTAAAAGAGAAAAGTAGTATTTGAATTCCTGCTTTTTTTAAAATTTTCCGTCTTTTGTGTGTTTCGTGTGTTTCCATTACGGCTTACCTACAGTAATTATTTTTTAATTTCTTTCAATTTTTAAAGGTTGCTATGCATTTATTTTTACTATTCTCTCCTTTTTTTTATTTAACATTATTTATTTATACATAATTTTATTTTTTAATATTTTGAGGGTTTGATCGCTTCACAAGTTCATTACTTCGTTCGGCCTTAACGTTAAGTCAACACACGCCTAATATTGAATAGATATGTGAATGTATTCTAATATTTTTAAAACGGTGTTCATCATATGATTGGGTTCTTTTAGTTTTTTTTTTTATTTCCCCTATTATTCGATTATTACAGTCATGACATTAGACAAATCCTTTTCTTTCGGCAAATTAAAAATTGAAGGATAGCAAAATAGAATTAAGAAAAAAGTTTCGCTGCATCATATCTCCCATGAAACAAAATTTTATTCTGATATTTTATCCTTAAATTACGAATAAGGGCGAGTCGATTTTGCAGACCAAACGAGTTACCATTTCGATCAATCTTTTTGATTAACTATTTATCTTGATATGTATTTTAATATAGTAGTAAATAAAGTTACAGCATAAAGTTACCTAAAAGATCTTCCTAAAAAAAATAAAATGAAATATAAAAAATAATATAAAAAAAAAATTCATTCAAGTTGGTATTTTTTCCAAAATAAAAACTTGAAATGCAAAATAACCTTCTTTCATATAATAATTTTAATTAATTTTACTTTTGGAAATATAGATTTTTAACGAATTCATGTTGAGGCTTTTTCCCCCTATATATAAAGAGGTCCCGTCCCGATTTCATATTTTTTGAAAAAAAAAACTTTCTACAAGAAATTTACAAAGTATCTTTCTTACAAAGTAATCATGAACCGAAAATTTATTTTTTTATTGGTTTTAATTTGCTAATTTTTTTATGACCGATGCTATTCCACATCAACTTCTTAAAAGAACATCTACATTTCTTCAATGTTCTTCGTTTGATGGGATATCACCCCACCACCTTTAATCTAAATAACACTTTCATCTGATCCCTCCTGTCCCCGGAAAAAAAGATGAATTTACTATTTCTGGAAAATTTTGGAAGACTTAACCGCATCTGCTTAACCTCTCTTAACACTATTAATTTCTTTCGGTTTTTAAATTTTTAAATATTGATAGGAGTAATGTTTTTTATTAATTTAATCATCTTTAATTACTCATTTAAATAATGTATCTTACGTTCGTTTGCGTCTTGAATTTTTGGAATTTTCATACTATATATTATTATTATTAATCTATTAATAAAACTTGAACTATAAAAAAAAAAAAAAAAAAAAATTTTAAAAAATAAATTAATCTCTTTTATTAATTATTTTATTTTACAAATAATATCAAAAATCTAATTATAAAATAATTATTATTTATTACAATTTTTTACTACTACTTCAAATTTATCCCGACACTTTAACCATCTAACCCATTCCACCTTAACTTTTAATATACTGTCTTGACTAGGAGGAGTTTTAAGCTAATAGGATGTCGAAATGGATGGATTTGTCCTAAATTTTGAACCTATTAAAAAAAAGAAAAGTTGGAAAGCATCAGTAAATGAAGGGGAATGATTCAAATGAGCGCCACCTCACGCATTCATATAAGTTCTCAGGCGTATGAATATAACTAGGTATG